CGCCGTCGTTTTTGTTAAAACCCTAACCCCCAATTTCCGATTTTCCCTCCAGTTCCACAGTTGCTGCTGAACCATTCCCGTTAAAGAGCGAGTGAGAGAGACGATGCCTTTTTCCTTCTTCTCCGTTTCAATTCTAATGGCGATAAATAATCTCCCATAATTGATAATTTCTCTTGAAATTCTGGGTTTAGGGTTTCGTTTCTCGGTGTTTCAGTCGGAGATGAAGACGATCAAACCCTTACCGGAATGTGTTCGTCACTCCATGCGCTCTGGAATCATCATGTTCGACATGTCTAGGGTCGTGGAGGAACTCGTCTTCAACAGTCTCGATGCTGGTGCGACTAAGGTCCGCGAAATCAATCAAACCCTCCTTTGGTCGATTTCTTCTGGAATATGTTTGGAGTTCTTCTGAAACTTTCTATTTTTCAGGTGTCTATCTTCGTGGGTGTTGTTACATGCTCTGTGAAGGTTGTGGATGATGGTGAGTATATACCTGCACGATGATTAATCTGTCGAATGATTGAATCTTAATTTGGAAATATTTACTGATTTGGGTTTCAGGATCTGGCGTTTCTAGAGATGATTTGGTTTTGTTGGGAGAAAGATATGGTGAGTTCTAACTATAATCTTCAATCAGATGCTTTTAATTATGTTTTAAGCACTGAGAAACTTATCATGAGCAATGTGCGAAAACAGCTACTTCAAAGTTTCATGACTTCACCAATGTGGTGGAGTCAGCCAGTGAAGGTTTTGGCTTCCGGGGAGAGGCGTTAGCTTCAATATCAGATATCTCGTTACTGGAAATCACGACAAAAGCTGTTGGGAGGCCTAATGGTTATCAAAAGGTTATGAAGGTATGGGTTGAATTTGATGCAACTCAATGCTTCTACATAGTTTGTGTGATGTTTGTTATGGTTTTAAACTTCCGACAACGCTTTTCAGGGGTCCAAGTGTCTACATTTAGGAATTGATGATGATAGAAAAGACTTTGGCACGACTGGTAATGTGTCTTTTTGTCACCATTGCTTTTTCTATAATGCTTATTCCAATAGTGAAAGTGAAACCTTAAGTACATTTTTCAGAATATATATGTCCTTTATGATGGAAAAATGCGTTTGCTCAATTTATGATTAACATCTGATCTTGATCTGGTTGATGCAGTAACTGTCCGAGATCTATTTTACAATCAGCCAGTCAGACGTAAATATATGCAATCCAGGTTCATTTCTTAGACACTTACTTCTTGGAGTAAGACATCTACATTTTAATCTATCTTCGCCTTGTCTGAAGTTTTCTGAAAATGCATTTATGTTTTGTTCTCTCTGTCTAAATTGATGATTTTTTGTTTTTCTACTATGGAAGCCCCAAGAAAGTGTTGGAATCTATTAAAAAGTGTGTGTTCCGGATTTCCCTTGTGCACTCCAGTGTTTCATTCAGTGTTCTTGATATCGAAAGGTGGGTTCCTACTTTCATTTCAAGATCCTTGTTAATTAAGCCGTTCTGATAGTTTCCTTGTTACAGTGATGAAGAGCTTTTCCAAACCAATCCTTCTTCTTCAGCATTCTCACTACTGATGAGAGATGCAGGGACCGAGGCTTCAAATTCTCTTTGTAAAGTAAACTTTACAGATGGCATACTTAATGTCTGTGGGTGTATATCTGGTCCTGGTGATAGTTTCAAGGTAAATTACTTGCTCCACTTATGGGCTCCCAAATTATTACTCTTGTTTGTGACTCAAATTGTTAACTTTGAGCCTAACCTTTCTTTTTTGCAGGCCTTGCAGTATATATGTATCCACATTTCTACATCTTTATATGTGTGATTGTACATCAATTATCTTCTGCTGTTTGAGTTAGGTAGTTTCTGTATATGGTTGTATGGCTTTGACTGCGACAGATATCAATTCAAGATTCGTAAGCAAAGGTCCCATACATAAGCTGCTGAACAACTTGGCTGATGATTTTGAGTGTATGGATGACTGGAAACCTACAGATGGGCTACAGACAGGAAGACGTAATAGACTTCAATCCAATCCTGGTTACATTTTGTGCATAACATGTCCACGCCATCTTTATGAATTCTCATTTGAACCATCAAAGACGAACGTTGAGTTCAAGGTATTATAATTCTATTGTGATCTATATTTAGTTAGATTTTTGAAAATTTATTGATTTCCTATATCTCTATCTGTGTCAGAATTGGGAACCTGTACTTTCTTTTGTAAGAAGAGTCATTCTAGCCAACTGGAAGAAAGAGACAAGTCTTGGTATCCCTGCTTTTGTCAAGCTCTGATAGTACCCTATTATGTGTTTTTCATTGAATTTTCTTACGTTTTCCAGTATAACTTTGTGATGCAGGAGCTCATCTACTGGCAGAAGGTGATAGACAAGATCTGATTGATGACTTGATTAGACAAAAAGGTACTCATGTATTCATACTCTTACCATTTTATAAATTAATTATTCTTTATTGCAACAGGGCAGCATCTATAGTTCGTCTCTTTTACATTCCCAGACAGCCTTTATCAATGCTTCATTTTCTGGATGCAGATTGGCCAGAAGCTATGGAACCTACCAAAAAGAAGCTCAAGAGGAGTAATGATCAGGGACCTTGTGGTTTTCTCTTGTCCCCGTCTGCTGACTTTAAAAGAGATGGTGATTTCTTGTATCAAGGAAAGGATGAGTGGTCTCCACAATATGAATTTAAAATGAAAATTCAAAATCTCAAAGAGCAAGACAGTGTAGCTGAATTTGACGTCCTGACCGATTCCCTTATACAGTCATGTGACAGAGAAATAGAAAAGAGTGAAGACTTACCACAAGTTACTGACCTTCGGGTAATAAGCTTGGTTGGTGGCACTAAATGCAGCAAACAGTTTCTAACAAGATGTCAGATTAGCACACCTCTCAATACCAACCATGATTTTATGGAAGACTCAGACACATTAAATTTTCAGTTTGAAGGATTTAAAGATGAGTTTGATGTCAGCAATTGCGTTGGAAAGCATCTCTTGCGTGGTTGCTCCTCCAGAGGCAGACTAAGCGTTCATGAGCCTAAACTATCTCATGGTGAAGGGTCTGAATCTGTCATGCCTATGATACTTGATGACAAACTAAATAATTCGCTCATTCGTGTCCTGGAGACCAGAGAAGGTGGTTCATACTGTGATGTTTTTTCTGATACTCTTGAAGTTCATGGAATGGCCAGGACTCCTAATTGTTCCCTAGGGAGTTCGTGGCAGGATACTGATTGGTTTACTCCACACCGTTCCTCAGATAGGCGAAATATTGGGATTGGAGAGGATTTTAACATCACCCCCATAGATGCTGCGAATGATTGTTCTTATGAAGACAAATTTGTCAGGAAAAAGTACAATTCCTCTGCCAATGTGGGGAACTCTGGTGCTGGTAGTTTCTGTTTGAGTTCTGAGTGGTCTCCAATGTTCTCCGCGCCTCCTTCTACGCCCAAGTGGGAGTCTGATTATCAGAAAGGTTGCCGAGCTATTGAAGGTAGTTTTAGACTGGAAAGGATTCCTGACCCTGAATATTTGTTCAGTGCAGCAAATGACATCAAATTTGATCATGAGGTCATGCCTCAAATGGATTGGCGAGAAACCGGCACAGATTCTTCCAGAGATATTCAGAACTGCACTCAGTTGGATGAAAAAAATTGCATGTCATCGCGGGGGCATGCAGATAATGTGGGTATTGAACAATATAGTATCAGGAAGGACAAATTCAGTTATAGGGATGGCACACAGAATAATGTTGGTAAACGAAGGTCCAGAAGAAGCCACTCTGCTCCTCCATTTTATCGAGAGAAAAAGAGAATTATCAGCTTAAGTTGTAGATCAGACACAAAATCAAAGAAGTCTGATTCACCAGGTTCATACTAGTGGTCTTTTTTCAGATGTGGTTATTTTGTTACTACTGTTGTTTTATTTTTGGGAATATGGTAGAAAAGAAATTGATGAGGTATAACTTTCTGCAGAAGTTGATGATTTGGAGTGTTTGACACAACCTTGTAACACATCTCATATGCATCTTGAGTGTAGCATCCTTGATGATGTGTCGTATGACCGCACACAAGAAACAGAAAAAAGATTGAGTTCTGCCTTAGACTTGAAAGCATCTGCTGGTTCCAGGACTGTGCTCTCGGAGACGGAGACCCAAGGTGAGGATGGAGAGGAAGGTAACTATTTATCTTAAATTAGCTGTATGTATCTTTAGTAGATGAATTATCCCTATGACACTGCTACAAAAGAGTAGACATTGTATTTTGTTGTATCTACAGTTTTCAATCAAAATGTGCTCCTTGACAAGTTTGGAATATGGGAGTGTTTGCAATGTTTCCTTTTTTCTCCCCTCTTCCATCCGGAGTATTTAACTATGTAATCTATCTTGCAGACTTCAGCTCTGAGGAAAATCTGGATCAAATTAAATCCACAACGAAATGGCGCCAAAACTGTTCAGTCTCTCAGGTTTTGTTTTAGCCTAATAGACTGACTCTCCGTTTCCGTGGAAGACAACTGAGCATCCATGCTATTTCTAATTGTTTTGCAGGTTGCCAAGGAATCACACGAGCTTCATGATCAAGATAGTGTACTTGATATATGTTCCGGAATTTTGCACCTACGATCCGATGAATCCTTGGTTCCTGAATCTATAAACAGACACTCCCTTGAAGATGCCAAGGTTTTACAACAGGTTGATAAAAAATATATCCCAATTGTTGCTTGTGGAACAGTTGCCATCGTTGATCAGGTTCATTCATCCTACATCATCTCTTTTGTCTCATTTATCTAAAATTATAGACACTTTTTCTGAATCTGGTTTCAGATTACGTTCAATTAGGGCAACATAAGTTGTGGAAACTATTGCTCTTTTTAAATGTCTTGCTACAAGTTGATCTGAGGTTGTCTTTTTTACAGCATGCTGCCGATGAAAGAATTCGTTTGGAAGAGCTGCGTAAAAAGGTAAGCGCATCTTGGAACCTCAAGTTCATGGAACTAATTCCTAATGTTTAATAGTTTGGATGACATTGTGCTTCTGTCAACTGACAAAACAATGAAATTACTAGGTCCTGGCTGGGGAAGCGAGGACAGTCACCTACTTGAGTGCTGACAAAGAGTTGGTACGTTTGAACATGATACTAGATAAATCTGCTTGTCTTGATCAGAGTTGTCTATACTGCCTCAGTTTATTGATGACGCATCATTAATCTTTTATGTTGACATAAAAGGTACTGCCAGAGATGGGTTATCAATTACTCCAGAGTTACTCAGAGCAGATAAGAGACTGGGGTTGGATCTGTAACATTAATGTAGAGGGGTCAACATCCTTTAAGAAGTAAATTTTCTCTTTCGGTCTCATCAATATGAAAGACTTTTTTTTTGTTTACAATATGCAATACTTGTGCAGTTGTGTGTTTTAGATTGCGCATCATGATTCTCTAAATGGGTAATGTTTTCCTCTTCTACAGGAACATGAGCATCATCCAACGGAAACCAACCCCAATCACACTTAATGCGGTTAGGCTATCTTTCATTTCACTTACTGATTCACCAGTTAAAAGAAGAGGTTATATTCTCTGTGGGATTCTATATGGATCACTTGAATGATCACTGTTTACACCACTTGTAGGTCCCATGCATTCTCGGTGTAAATCTATCAGATGTTGATTTGTTGGAGTTTCTTCAGCAGGTACGCTCAGAATCGTTTATACATGGCTTACCTTTTCTTTTTCTGGTTTAAGATTCTTACTCAACTTTTGCTTAACCAGCTTGCTGATACTGACGGATCATCAACAGTTCCTCCATCTGTTCTTCGAGTCCTAAATTCCAAAGCCTGTAGAGGTATATTATATTCCTGATCTCTCCCGAATCGTTTTGTATGTTCAAGGATAAGTTAGTGACTACCATTCAGCACTTGGTTTCTCTACTAATTCTGTGTATTTTTTACAACTGATAAGGTGCTATTATGTTTGGAGATTCTCTGTTACCGTCGGAATGCTCTTTAATCATCGAAGGACTGAAGAAGACCTCACTTTGTTTCCAGGTAAGTAAGAAACATCAAATCTTACCACAAGGATTCATCTATAATCAAAATAAACTCATTAAGTCTGTCTACAGTGTGCTCATGGACGACCAACGACAGTTCCTCTAGTCAATTTGAAAGCACTGCACAAACAGATAGCAAAGCTCAATTCCAGACAACCGTGGCATGGGTTTCAACGCAGAGAAATCACACTTGATCGTGCTATGTCACGCTTAGATGAAGCGAAAAGCTAAAAAAAACTGCACATGTATCAAGTCTTTTACTCCATAGACTCGGTACATAACTACTTTCTTAGTCTTACTTTAAAGCTTTTCCTTAGATGTATAGTTGTATAGGTTGATACCAAACTTCAGTTTGTAAACTGATATAACTAACTCATTGTACTCTTTGCAGCTGATTACTATACAAAATAAAAGTTCATTGAGAAACGATCCATGGTTCAAAAGCTAGTGTGGAATGAGACAAAAAAAAGTTTAGTTCTTTTTTTTTATAACTCCAATTCCCACATCTGACATTATAAAACTACCACCAAACAATAAATCTACCAGTTCTGTGAGCTCATAACCCCAGTGATTGTCCTGTAATGGATCTGACATGGTTGTTTGCTAATACTATCAGTAGATATTTTCAGATGTAGATGCTTAGGTAGATACAACATGTTCTTCTTCAGCTATCATTTCGCTTTGGTCTGTGCCGATAACAGCACACAATGCCTTCCAAATGGGAACCAACATCTTCAATGGTGGACGCAGTTCCTGTATACAAAGAGAGAACTGAACTCAGAATCAATGGCCAAAACAAAAAATATAATGTTAGCAAAAGTTTCTCTCTCACAATGTATTGGAACAAACTGATGGCATCTACCTTAAACACCAATGTAAGTTGTTCTTCACCACGCAGAAGTAAGGAGAGACTCCAGTAACATGTAATGGGGGTGACACACTCGGCCAGCACAGGCTTCAAAATTTTGCCAATAGGGATAAACCTTGAAACAGTTTTTCCACTGCAAAGCAGAAACATGTACCAAAAAATTAAGTACTTGTATGCTTTTGGAAGAAGCATATAGATGATAATAGCTCAAGAAAATTACAACGAATCCCACCATTACCGCATCATTATTAAAATTAAAGTCATTATAGCTAAATGGAGGGAGTGTACCTTAAATATTGAGTTTCAAGTTGGATCCCGAAGGTTGGCATGATGACAACAGATTCTGACAAGTCAAAGAAAAGAGAAAATAAATCAAAGATCTGAAAGATCATGTCATTTGGCGAGCCTGTAAACCATGTACAATGATGAACTAGAATTCCACCTTTCTTGACAAACTTCCGACTTTGTAACATAACAAACAAGCCACTTAAAAGGAAGCCCCAAGAAAGAGTTGTAAATGGATTATCCTGTTTCAAGTGAATCAACTTTTTCAGATACTTGCATTGAAGAACAACAGATAAAACATGACTACATGAGCAAAACAACATTGTAAACTAACTCAAATTAAGAATCGAGCCATTTCGTTCACTTTGGGAGTCATACTTGTCAATGCCATGTGATTGACCCTTGAGGAAAGAAACAATATCATATGACATTCTCATAATATGCACTAGCAACACTTATTCTTAAGCAATGCCTCAAATTTCAAGCAAATTCAAATCGAAATAACAAACGGCACAAACTATCATTACCTTTCCAAGCAAAAAATACATAGAACTTGCCAAAAGCACAAGAAAGAAACCAAGCCCCTTACGACAGGCGTAACCAGTTGCTCTGCTTCCGTTGATGATCACATGGTGAATGTCAATGGCTCCTCTAGTTGGCTCACTTTCACTTTCCTGTACATAAGTGTATCTCTTATTCGAAAGAGACAAGTCCACCATCCGAAACCTATCAATCTATATCTATCACTGTCGTTTACTCCTTATGACACTAGAGCTAGCTTCTCAATACCCAAGCAAAAAGTTTCAGACTTTTTGAGTCTCAGTCAAATCATTCAACAACAAAAATTTCTCTGAGGCTTTCCGTCGAGCAACATGCGAGCATTATAACCTTGTTTCACCATTACGAAACATAAGCCTTACAAATCTCACCAATTACCTCCACAAAATGTTCTCGGAAACACAATACCGATAAATCAAACAGGAAGAAGAAATTATTTTCCCGGAATCAAATCTGAACCGGCTTCTCTTACCGGTGAAGAGAAAAAGACGATTACTTGTGGTGGAGACGAC